AATGACTGACTGACTGACTAATTGTCTGACTGACTGCTGACGTACTGACTGACTAAATGACTAGCTGACTGTCGTACTGATTGTCTGACTGACTGAACGGCTGACTACTTACTGACTAAATGAATGACTGCTTGACTGACTGACTGAACTGCTGATTGATTGACTGACTAACTGATTGCAGTGATTATTGACTGACTGACTATTTGAGTGACTGCTCTCTGACTGACTGACTAACAGAGTGACTGCTGTCTGACTAAAGGACTGACTGACTGACCGTCTGGCTAACTGACTAACTCTTTGACTTATTATAAGAATTTCGTTTTTATCAAGCCAAAGAAAATTCACAAGTTTTCTCCAGACATTATCGAATGTATTCTGTTCATTTACAGATTCGCAGCGGTAGTTTACCCAACTGTTTACAAACATCGCATGAAAAACACGAAAGTCGCGGGCTGGACGGTCTTAGGCGTATGGACCTTCTCTATATTCATCGCCGCATTTCGAGTGGAATATAAAAAATTCAACTACGCTTTATTTGTTGTGGTCCTCGGTTTCTTCATCCCCCTTCTCATAATACTCCTCTCCTACGGAAACATTTACCGCGTGGTAAGCTATCGAGCGAAATGGACTGGGTCGGTTTTGATTGAGATAAAACTGGCGCGAACACTCTCGATTGTGATTGGCGCGTTCATTGTCTGCTGGGCGCCATTTTTTATCACCAATGTAGTGTCGTACTATTGTAGGGTTTCATGCAATTGGGAGGATACCATACAGTGGATAAAGTGGCTGCAGTATGTAAGCTCTTGTATTAACCCTGTTATATACACTTTACGGAATCGCGAGTTTCGTTTCACCTTCCATAAACTGATTTTCCGGTGTAGCTACAGAAACGGCAAGTATGTGTTCAATCCGCATGCAAAGCGGGGTACGAGGTGTGGTTGCTGTCAACTTGGAGACACGTTTGACGAGGAGTACGGAGAGCGTCGTTCTCGATATCCTACTTATACTGAGGATTCTACGTGGCATAGCTCGCATGTTCGACATTCATCGACACCCACTAAGCAACAGTCAACACCGTTGGCATTTGATAATTTGTCTACTACTAAATAATTAGGTTCCATGGGTGTCACATCAGATTATTTTAGTCAAATAACAAGAAAGACAACATTTCTGAAAATAACTGAGTCCAAATCTGAAATCCGGGGGGGGGGG